AAGTAGCTGTTTATAGCTATAAATTTGACGCGAATTTTAAACAACATCATTTATTTAATAACATTTTTTTTCTAAGGTATATCAGACATAATGTGTGCTATTATCCGTATAATAACAAAAAAACTGGGGGAGTTCAAGTATTTTTTAACAATAAAAATAAAAAAAACGAAAAAGTTTTACTGTTCAAATTATTTTTGGTTATTATTCAAAAATACTTTGACTCCCCAGTTTTAATGTTATTATACGTATAATAGCGTCTATTATGACTGATATGCCATACAAAAAAAAAGATTATTAAATAAATTTTGTTGTTTAGAATTCACGTGAAATTTATAGCCGTAAGTAGCTACTTTTTATAGTTCTTAATTGTAAATGATTATAGCTACTTGGTAGTCAATTGTAGCTATTATTGTAGCTGATTACAGCTGTAAATACAGCTATTATTTATAGTTAAAATAATAGCTAACGATTTTTGACTGAGGGAGAAGAATGTATATTAATTCACAGAAATTAAATCAGAAATTAACACAGACCTTGCGGGGGAAAATCTATTTTTAATTTTTTTTTAGGCCTACAACGATTGTAATAGTGTAAAAGCTAGTACATAACGCGTTTTCGACAAAATAACGGTATTGCAACTAGTTTTTCTCCAAACTCAACCGTTACATAAAGCTTAAAATCTTAATTCGAAAGTGTGAAACGCACGTTTGAGGTTCCAGCGTCGTAGTGTCGCCATATTAGACATATATATGTCATTAATATAGTTTAGATTACACTAAATCTAAGTGTACCCTTTTTATTGTGTTTATAATTGATGGAGTCGTCGTATTTCCATAGGTTAGCCTATGTTTTTCTTGCGGCAGTGGTGCTAACTATCAAAGTTTTTTGAGCCAATTAGGGCTGCAAGATGCGGGTTGGTTACTCGTTGGAACCTCCTTAACTTGTACAAACCCCTCCCACCGTATATAGGTGTATAAACAGGACTTTTGTACAGGTTAAATGTGCGTTTTATACTTTCAAATTAAGATTTTGAGCTTCATGTAACGATTAAGTTGAAAAAAAATTAGTTGCCACACCATTATTCCCTCGAAAACATGTTATTTGCCAGTTTTTGTAGTATTAAAATCGTTGTAGGCATAACAAAAGTAATAAATACAGATTTGTCCCCATAGGCCTGTGTTAATTTCCCCCAACTTGGCTATATATATTGCGAAAGTCACCTGACGTTTTGGGATCCTAATATGGTAACATAACTTCAAACAGTTGACGTACAAGTTAATGAAATGCTTCGAGTGCATTAAAATTGTATTGCATATTTCATCATAAGCAATTTTCATTACAAGAATAAACATTATTATAATTTTTTATTGAACTGTTGAGCAAAAAGTTGATGAAAAGCAATTTTTACTCGACTCTTTACTTTATACGTCAATGAGACGCAAAAGAGGGTGACGTTGCTGTGGCTTAACGATAACGACATCTTTCTCGTGTAAAAGTATCCTTATGTATATTATATATGTACACAAGAAGTCTGTACGAAGAATAATTAAAATTTTTTACATAAAATAGTTAATATTATTTATCCTACTATCTTGTGATAATGTCCAACAACCTATAATATGGGTGTCAAGATGCTAATCTGTTCAGATGGTATTTTTTTGTGTCTTTGTGGTGAAGTTATTCGTCTTCATCTCATTAGCTACATCAAAAAATCACTGCTCTTTAAGTAAAAACTTAGTTAAAGTGGATTTCGAACAACTTTTTCGTGTGATTTAATTAAAAAATTGTGTCCATAATTTTAGGCGATAGTGCGATTTAATATAAAAACTTATCAAAGTGTTAAACAACATTCTGGACTTTTAATTTGGTAACTACCTTAATTGCATGATAACGCGTTTAATTTATCTTTGATTCATTATATCTTACAAAAGACATTTATTAAGGAACGTATGAAAACAAAAGAGTCGGCTCTAACGAAAATTGACGAACATGCAATAGTACAAAATTACTTTGTCGGATAAACAATACCCTAACATTAAGGTCTAATGATATTTTGGCTTTGATATTATCCCTTGGCTTCCAAGAACATCAGTATTCAAATAACTATCAAGATAATATTATTATTTGTTTAAACACGCCAGTACTTAAGTAACTTGAACTGCCAGTCCGAAGCCTTGATCAAGTGTGACGGGAAAAATAATATTTGTTAAAAATGTTAATCTGGGAAGTTGTAATAGCATGGGAGCCAACTCGACCCTAGTTTCTAATGACTCGAGAGCCAACTCGACCCTGGTTTCTAATTACCCGGGAGCCAACTCGACACTTTTCTGAGTCATGGGAGCGAATTCGACACCTCCGGATATTATTATCCTTGTGTCAGTACTGTAAGATTACAGTGGTATAATCGATTAAATATTGTACGGTTTGTGTAACAAAAAAAAGTTAACGAGTCTCTTGTGAAATGCTTATTTAATTATTTATTTACTCTTATTCATAAATCATCAAAATGAATATTCCTGTACTTGTAGATATTTGTTTGTTGAATTAACATATTTTTATTTTTCTATAGAAAAATTACCTTTTTACTCT